AAAATGGTGTTATATTTATTAAAAATAGGTCTTTTGAATAAGGGGGTTAAGCCCTTCCTGTGCCTTATTTCAYATTATTTTAGCTTCTTAAATGACCAAGGACAGGATGGAAGAGTTGTGCAATACATAGAAGAATAAGTAATCTTGCAGTTCCGTAGGTTTTTTTCTTTTTCCTCCTTCCCTGTCTGGTGTCAGACCTTTTCTACTGCACATTATAAACTCCTCAGATTGTTTTGTTTTGTAGAGAGAGAAAAAAAATGCACAAGAATTTTAATTCTCGGACACAAGCTAAGGAATGGCATTATCGTGGCTGGTTGGTAGTAGCAAACTCTTTCGCCACCACCCAGTTGGTATTTAGGTCACACTGTCCTTCAGTAGCAGGAGATGAAAACGCAGTGAGCATATTTTACTCTGGAACACTTTGTGTTTTTGATGCAAAGAGGGATATTATATAAATCTATGCTTGTTTGTGTAGCTTTTTTAAAAGTTTGAGAAGAGTTTTTAAATGCAAAATTGAGTCTGAGGGAAGCATCTACCTAATACTCCTGTTTTACAAAAGGGGGTRCTTGTAATTGAGGAAAGTCCATTTGATGAGACCACGGGGAATCATTATAAAAGTAGAAATAATGAGTCACAGCTTTGAGTTCATTGCTCTGTGTATTTTATTTTACTGGTTTCAGGCACTTGAGTCTATATTTRTCTGTAAGAGGAGAGAGGTTAATAAGTACATATTGATTAAATAATATTAGTTAAATAATTTAACACTGTTAACCACACTAGATTTCTCACTGTGTGCGTAGGTTAGTGCATTGGTTAGTGTTTTAAATTGAGTTGAAATGGCCCAAATTTCTTTTTAATCAGTTTAGAAACAGTGGAGCACAAAGTTAATGTGATTAGATAATGATATTTAGCATAGAATGTCTCTTGTAGATGATGCTTGAATTTGAATTTATAAATCTGTTCAACACATTTTGAGATCTTGGTCTTTTTATATCCACAAACTTCTACCCTAGGCTTATAGTTAAGAAACTGAAGAATATCAAATCAGTTCAGAATAAACTTGGCCAACATGCTGGGTCACGCTTTTGACTTGGTTCCAGTCAGCAGCATACTTTACAGTAACACTTTGCTGTGYTCCTGTATAATCTGAGCCTTTGGTCAGCATTGCCCAACCACTTGGTCTTTTCATCAGCACTTTTAGCCATTTAAGGAAACATCTGTCTTTGAGATTAGAAAACAACCTTCTCTGTGAAAATCACTGTATTTTTTTAAGGAAGTTGCTATGTAGTAATATTAAATATAAATAARCTTCCTACCTGCATGGTCACTCAGCAGCACTGCATAATAACAGTTAATAACATGGTACAAAACCTTTCTATTTACCTTGCTTGTTGTTACTTGATTGTTCCCAATACGTCAGTGATAACAGTAATAGAGCACTTCATATGCAAAACCCTTGGGGTAGTGATTTGCAAACTTCTGGTGTTTGCTGCCAAATTTAATTTTTCCACAAAGTGTTCTCACTCGCTGCTGGTAGCACCAGCCCGCATCTGAGTCAGTGCCAGTCCTTTTCCATTTTGTGCTGCAGGGCAATTTTCAAACATAATCAGACCTAACAACGTTTTATTAGGTTTATTGTAAAGATTTACCTTTCAGATGGCTGCTTGGTGTACCACCTGAAGGCACTCATCTTTTCTAATATTAAACAAACACTTTGTTAGATACGCTTTCAAGAAAGATTGGGGTTATTATGCACTATCGATCATATTTATTTAAAATAGACCAGGTGATTTGAATTGCTTGCAGTGTTTTGTCAGGTTGAGTAAGAAGAACTTACTTAAAGGGAAAGGGTTATATATASTAAAGGGAAAGGGTAAAAACCTGTCTCTAATATGTTTTCTTTGTCCCCCTCAGCTTTTTACTAAATTTAGATGAACTGTTACATTACATGATAACAGAAAATATTAGGGCACAACTATTGTACCTACCACACCCACATATAGGCATGCACACCTCTCAAAAACCCCAGTGGCTTTAAAAAATATGTCTTTTTTTCAGTTGGGACTGTTGGCAGTGCAGGTTGGGTTGGGTTGTGGCAGGGGGTGGTGCGCAGGCTGGGAGCTTGGGTTGAGGGTCACTCCACTCATACAAGTGCAGGGAGATGTTTGTAATGTATGAAGGTTTGGGTATGAATTGATGCAGGCCTTTGGGGAGCACATTTAACAACTACAACGTGGAAAAGGTTCCTTGGGGACCAGGGGTGGAGGTGGGCAAGGTGGGAGACCTCCTGAAAGCTTCGCTGTTTCTGAAGTAATACTGTGAATAAAAAGGCTTATTTTTTAAAATTGATTTAACCTACATCTGAAAGATGACTATTGTGTCATTTTAGATATTCCTCAAATAAGGTATTTATACTGTAATACGTCTTGAAAAGAATTTCATGGTAAAGATCAGTTGCAGTATTCTTCATGTCCTTCTTAGCCAGTTGTACACTCTTACGCTTGCCTCCGACAAATTTCTTGCATGCAGTGTGTTGTTTCTTCCAAGTTTGGTGCTTAAGGCCTTAGTGTGAGGCCCAGCTAGGCTGTAAAACTCTCCTTTGGCAGCTTGCTTATGCTTGTGGCGTTAAGCTTTCTGCAGGGGATTCTGCTGCTTATGTTCAAAATTCCATCTTCCATTTATAAAAAGAACATTATATTAAGAGAGTCTTCTTTTTACCAATTAGGTCAAAGCCCTAAAATTTTAAGACCTAAACCACATGGTTTAGAGCGAACTGATTCACAAACCATAGGTGACTTTACTACAAGAAGAAAGGGTATGTACTTTAGCACTGTATGTATATGGAGCTTTATAAAATTAGAATTAAGCAAAATGTTTTTCTAGCATTTGAACTCTCATAAAGCCTTTTTGCTTCTCTTATAATGTAAGATCTTTTCCTTCTATTATAATCTAAGACCGTGAATGCTTTTTCCTTGCCAAGCRAGTTTCCTTTATAAGGAAAAAGAAGCCTTGCTGTCTTGAACAGCACAAGGAGATATTTCTAGGCCTAAGTCTTCTGATCTCTTAAATTCTAGCTGTTCATAGCTCAGGATTACTTTTGTATCTGCTTATTCAGCAACAAGTATATGCAACTTACCTGTAAGCTGCTTGAAATAACTTTGATTAGGCAATAACCTGAAACCACAGTTCACTTGTCTCCTGCTGTTGGCTAAGTGCTGAACTGCAGCAAAAGATCAATGCAGAGACCGTGTATTAGTGCAGAGCTGCTGTTTATGAGCATTGCAATTAGACTTGCAACGGCTTTAATGAAGGCGCCGAACTGGTGCTTCGTCCATGAGTCAAAGCAAGTTGCAAATAACGTGAAAAGGTTCTCAGAACTGTGAGTGAGCAGCACCTGTGGTTGCTAAAGCTCCCTGGAACTGCTGGAGCTGTTCCTGCTGTCCTCCAAGGCTGTGGACAAAAGCCTTGCTCTGTTCATGCCTGAGCGCTGTACGTGGCTGCCGGCTGTCGGTGCCGCGCGGCCGCAGGCCTTTGCACAGCGTTTGAGCCGTGCCGGGGTCTCGCTGCGTCGCTCCGGCTTTAGCACSAGCCTGCCCCGTGAGGTTCAGTTCTGCCACCCTGTCTCATCTCAGACTCTAGAGCCTGGTGCAGGTGGCTTGTAGGTGCGCTCCTGAGCCTGTGGCGAACGCTTTATGCTTAATTGAGWTAGTGTGGCAGAATGACAGAGCAGGCATGATGTGTTGTGTGTGAGCAATTATGGCATTTCATCTAACGGAGAGAACTGTCTGGGGTGCTAAAGACTCAAACTAGAGAAAAATGAATTATGAGTCTTTATGTTGAATCCATAAGATAGCTGACTCTTCAATAAACTTTATCTGAAGAGGATAATGAAAAGATACTGTTGTATGGTTCTGTTTCTTCCTTACAAGAGCCACACTGATTAAGCAACTGATTTCTGTCAGTTCCTCATGTGGTCACTTAGGACAACTTTTACTCCCCAGGAACTAGTTCTTAACACCCAAAATTTATGCTTGTAAATCTGTTAATATGCAGCAAGTTGATTACCTTGTTTTTGTTGTCGTCATAGTAGCATTAGAATTTGTTTTGTTAAAATACTTCTGGGGAAGATGGAGATGAGATTAGAACTGACAAGTTTTCCTAAAAAAGTTCTATGGTCCATACTTTAAAACTTCTGCTTTTAATCTTTAGGAAAGGTTAAAAAACAAAGAAAAACCTAGAGGTGGGAGGGAAGGATAATGTATTTCTTGGAGGGAAGGGTAATGTATTTCTTGCTAATACTTGCTTTGTGGTTCTGTTATGAAAATGGAATTTGGAAATGGCATATTCTGTAGCGTCACGTTTGCTGCCTTGATGATGCGCTGCTGCTCTGCTCTGCAGCTGATGAGCTCTGAGCTTGATGAACACCAAAACAAGGCAGCACCTCTGGAATTTAAGCTAGGTACTGGCTCATCCATGAGCTTTGCAAACTTCCTYTTAATTAAAGATTCTGCTCACACTTTCAGCTGTGAAACCTAATCAGTAAGTGCACATATGCGCAGCGAGGGCAGATTTTGCATAATAATGTTTGTCCATGAGCCAAAAAMGTATCCGGAGTTGGCTATGAGGCCAGTTTAAGTTGAGACATTTGGTCAAACCTGTCCTGTGCTTGTCAGTTCAGCAAGTTTTGTGACATAATTAACAAGGAACGTGATGCTGCCGTTTTCAGAGTCTGTTTTTGAAATAGAATTACTATCTGCAAATGTATCTTGCAAAAATTCTTAAATTGTGTTTTTCTTTCCTAATTGCTGTTCARTAAAGGGAAAGTTTAAAATACAAGTGAATATATCATGACACTTTCTGAGAATCGAGCAGTATCTCCTTTCCCTTATTAGCGCTTACTGTTTAAAAAAAAATAGTATTTCTTTTTGGTATTTAGACTTTGAAAAGCTGTTTTAGTTTAGAAATTGTCTATGCTTTAAGAATATCTGTTTCCTATGTAGCAAAACCAGCTCCACTAGAAATAAAACCTCTGCCTGAATGGGAAGAACTACAAGCCCCAGTTAGATCTCCTATCACCAGAAGTTTTGCACGAGAGTAAGTTTCTCAGTTTTTCCTCATTTGTTTTCGTTGACTGGAGTGTAAATATATATGTGCTTCTCTATTATATTTCTTAGCCTTTGTAATAGATTGAGATTTCTTTTGGAATTGTACCTGTCTATGTGTGTGTGTATGTATATATAGTGTGCATACATGCAATGAAACAGTGGCAATATGAATGTTTCTTTTGTAATATTTAATATTAAAAACTGCATAACCAGAAAATGCAACTTGAATGAAGATTTCAGCTCTAAAATGCTTATTTTTGTTGTTTACCAGGAGGTTTAAGATATTCACGATGTATTGTTTGTAAAATAATTGCTGGTAATTAGCTCCTCCAGGTTTCCCATGTCTCCCAGACCGGATTCAGTTCATAGCACAACTTCGAGCAGTGACTCGCACGACAGTGAAGAGAATTATGTATCCATGAATCCAAATCAGTCCACTGAAGACCCAGTATGTAATATCTACATCTTAACTACTCTCTTCCTGTGCAGTCCTTACTTTTAAATCATTCAAGCGTTCAACATCACCTCCCTCTACGTTTCTAGATTAAAAACAAAAGCAGCTCTCTATAAAACAACTGTAATTTTGCTAAGATTGCAGTGAGAAAAATAAGACCATAACTGTTTCTAATTAGGGTATGGTTAGTATGCATATCTGTTCTACAAAGCAGTTCACAACATTTCTTTTTCCTCCCTGCAAACTCTCTCCTCTTGTCCATAATTGCTTTTCCCAGGGTAGGCACTGGTTGTGACATTATGGGAAATAAAATATTTTAGAGCTTCTGAGGCATACTTAAAAACCTTTTTTGAAACAAGATCTTCCAAGAAATGTGGGAAGAACAGGGGAAATAATTGATATTTGTGGTTTCCAGTCCATGAAATCTGAGCTACGTGTGCATTTATTAGGCTTCTTAGGGAAAAAAAAAAAAAAAAAAAAAAAAAGAGGAGATAGAGGGGAGATGAGCCTCAAGCCCAAACTAAAATGTGGTTGAGAATAAAGCCTTGTACCTCTAGCCCAGCTGTTGTTTCAGGCTAATTCACTATGCCCTTACAGCTTGGATTCTTACTTAGAGAGCACAGTAGCATTTTTCATCTTCAAAGCATTATGGAAGCTGTGGTTTTCCCTAGCCTTGGCTGGGGGAGGGCCTGCCACCCGCTCCACTCTGCCTGTGTCCGCTGCCCYGCGCAGCAGTGCCGCACGTGCTGCCCCCCTGTGCTACCCCACGCCTTTTCCTTCGCCTAATGCTGCTTGCCTTTCCTGCCCTTGCCATCCCGGCTTCCCTGCAGCCTCCCTGCTCCAGCGGCCCCCGCTGCCGCTGGCTTCCCTGCAAGAGCTCGGCCTCGGCGCCGCAGCAGGAGGCTGCTGCCCTGTGCTCTGCCCCGGCCCGAGCTGCTGCTGCCCCTCTGCCCTGCAGCATTAACCCACCTCCCGCAAGAGCCCTCTGCGCGAGGCGCTGCTAAGTGACCAGGAACATCCCTGCTGCAGTCGGGACACGTCCACTTCCACACAACAGCTGCTAGCTGCCTGATACCTGCGCTTCTGGCTGGGGCAGCATCGCAAGGAGAAARGGGGATTTCTCTTGAGCCTTGGAATGCCATTCCAGGGGCTAAAATTGAGTGCCAAGGTGCTATGTTTAATATCACAGCTAGGGTGGCCCGTCATTAACATCTTATGCTTGCTTGCACCATTCATTCTGCAAGGTTGTTCTGAAGGTTTTTCTTSGTTTATCTTTAAGTTGATTTTTTTTTCTAATGCATACATTATGCTTGTCTAGTTTGTGTGTAGACCCTGTTCTGTTTAAAGAGCAATATGTCTTTTTAATGCTGAAAACTGATACAGATTCTGACTCTTAAATACTAAGAAATACGTTTTAGAGACGTTGGGCAGCAAAAATGAGCTTTGTATTGGTCGTTTGTGTTTGTCCTTGTTACTACTTAGTATAAGTGAGTGGGGTGATAGAGATGTAATAGAATAACTCTCATTAAAACCCCAAGCCCGTTAAGCTTTAACCCCTGAAGTRTTTTATTTCCTAGAGAACCTGAATGTTTGCAGATATCTCAAGGCCATTGTTTTAAAGTGTGCTAATTACATGGACATTTTGAAAATTTTTATTTATTCTAACTACACCTTAGGAAGAAGCCCGTACTTTCATCCTTTTCTGTCATCAGCTTCGGAATATCTAGTTTGGATGTGTCATACTTCTGATTTACTTAATAAAATGAGCAATATTCTTTTTCTTTCAAGTTCCTGTCAGCTTCGCCCTTCTGTCTTTCCTTCGCCTTGCTCTTCATTTTTTGCTGACTGCTGCCCTCTGTCTTCCTTTTTTTTCTTTATCTTTTAGAGAAGAGTCCTTCTATTGTACTGTTCCTATAACACCTGTTAAGAGGGAGGGATCAGGCTGGGAGAGGACAGAGGAGGTGAGGTTGTAAAAGTCTGGGCTAATTGAAATTTAGGTACATGCAGTACAATGTTAGTTCAGGCAGTCCCACCCACAATTTTCAGTTTGCTTAGTCTTTCACTTTTATCAATTGAATGATATCTTTTGACTTTCAGCTTAATTATGATGCATTTCATTTTATTTTTTATTTCATGCAAGTGTCTCCTTTGAAGTTTGGTCACTGTTGTAAGGCTGAAATTCTGAAACTAGCGTAAAGGAGTACAGAAATTTTAATTAAATCATGCTAAATTTGAGGTAACATATACTCAGGAAAAAAAAGCAGACTCCATCTGGATCTCATGCTGCAAAAGGGGTAAAAGGTAGATTGATTTGGCAGCACCCTTAAGTGGGGGGTTTTGGTTGTTGGGTTTTGGGGATTTTCCTTCCTTGGCTTTTGACTCTGTGTCCCAAGCTCAACATTATTTTTTTCAGTTTTGTCTTGGAACATGTTTGCTTGTTACACAGTGTCAATAAAACATGCATGGCTTAACACATTGCAAGAGCACTGAGTGAGGTCTTTAACCTTGAATGTTTAGGCAGTTTAGAGTAAGAGTATTTGATAATATGGCCCATGAAAATGTGCATTTGCAGCTGAAGTTATTTATATTATAATTTCAGAATTTGTTTGGTAGCAACAGCCTTGATGGAGGAAGCAGCCCTATGGTAAAACCTAAAGGAGATAAGCAAGTAGAATATTTAGATCTGGACCTGGATTCTGGGAAATCTACCCCACCTCGTAAGGTAAGCACATCTTGAACTTCAGGATTTCTCCATGAGCAGTTGCTGGGATGGTGAGCGCCCCAGCAAGATCGCCTTCCTTAGTTTGTCAAACAGTCTGTGACAGAGAGTGTGTTGCACCTTTCAGAGGAAGCTCTGCTTGTTCTGGATCTGTTTGGGACTTTTAGTTGACTTGTTTTAATGGGACTTTCACTCTCCCTTGCCTTTTCCAGAAAAAGAGCAGTGGTTCAGGCAGCAGTGTGGCAGACGAGAGAGTTGATTACGTTGTGGTTGACCAGCAGAAAACACTAGCACTGAAGAGCACACGAGAGGCATGGACTGATGGGAGGCAGTCTACAGAGTCTGAAACGCCTACCAAAAGCGTAAAATGAAAACACAGCTTTATCTGCCAAGAACAGAAAGAGGCGTCTTTTATCGCTCTGAATTTTTGAGAATTACAGAACCACGACGGCGGCGTCGATTGACTGTGCAGTGCTTGATGATTCGCTGGTCTGTGAACAGGTTCTTGACCGAAGAAGACGGCAGCCAAAGGATGCTTCAAATACATCAGAGGAATTTTAAGATCCTAAATTGGCTCTGTGGTCTCTGGAAAGTTCGTAACCTGTATATAACCTGTACAATAGTATCGCTTGGCTTTCAGAAAACCTTTCGTTTGGTAGTTAACACATTGTAGTATTACTATGTTTATGCACTTTTTCAGTTATGATGTTGGTTCAGGTATTCCCAGTTAGTGTACCTTAATGCCTAATTCATCTGGAGAATTTTTTTCCTTACACTACTATTCCTTACAATTTTAGGTTAATTAAGCTACTTGTAGATATGGGAATTAATATTTGAACTTCAWTTTAACAGCTTAAAATTGATTTTGCGGAAATACTTCCACAATTGAATAATCTACTTGAAATGTCGAGAGATGACCGGTAGTTACATACGTGTTTATATTTAATACACACAAGATTATTTGGAAGTCTACAGGTTATCTGCCTAACAAAAATTGCTGTGAGATAATAATAATGAACTATACTGGGTTTAGACCTACAATCCTGGCTCCTGTGTTAGTTGTTAGTGGTGGAACTTCTATTGTATTTTATTAATGACAGTGTTCTGTGTTCAATGGGTGAAGATTCTGCAGGGTGGGATCTTACCTTTTAAAGACTGAGTAATTAAATATCAAGTAAGCCTGCAAACCACTGATGGCATGCAGTAATATTGTGATCTCACAATTATTAACAAGAAATAACCTTTATATTATTTACAGAAGGTAGAGTATATAAATCAGGTACGTACCAAGCACTATTGTGCTAATACACTGATCAGGTTTAGACAGTGAGCTGTAGTTTTGTACTATTTAGAAGTTCTAATGTCAGTTTTCAGTTTGAGATTAATGGGACAGTTTGACATTCACTGTTTGTAGTACTAGCAAAATACTGTGATTTTGAATTAGACATTTAATTCAAATGGAAACACTATGTTTTGACACCATAGTGCCCTTCTTACAATCTTTATTTTACTTTAATCTCCTGCTTGGCCTTATATTTAAATCCCTATGCAACTGATATTTTATATCTTTGTTTTTAAAAATTAGAAAAATTAGATGATATACCTAAGTGATCCCCTTGTAAACCACTTGTTGCTCTTTCCTGGTACAGGAGTTTAAGCTCTGTATACTGTGATCCTTTATTTTATTATGCCAGTTCCAAATAATAATCTACCTTGGTTTAGATACAGTTTTGTTATCTGGAAGAAAAGAGAGTTCTTTAAAGGTGTGAATGAYTTAGGTCTAGATAGAAAACCTACTAACAGTTTTTCACTTTTTTTTCTAAACACAAAAATGCCCATAAGTAAATTGTTTTTCTACGGTTCCTTCTTCACCCCCACCCAATCCATTTGTTTCAATTTGTCCAGATCATTTAAAAGTTGATCATTGAAGTATGTTGTTTTCTGGCATGCTGGTGTCAGTCCTGTGCCTAATCTGCCATTGGTTGTTTCTCCTCCCTCACAGCCACAAACTACAGTATGTAAATTAACATATTCTTAACAAAGGTTCTTTTTAAATTAGTAATTTTGATGCTTTGAATGCTCATTTTAAAAAAAGAAACTAAACAATGCATTTTGAGGTGAATTTTAAATAAATCAAGTTGTTCAGTTTTGATGTGTAAACTCTGTCCTGTGAAATGGCAAAGCAGTATTCAATGTGTGTGTAAAGATGCCTAGAAAAACATCACGTTTTTTCACAACTGTGGATTTTAGATACAACGCTAACAATTTCTGGAAAAAAAAAAAAAAAAAAAGGAAAAAAATTAAATGTAGCAGTTTCTAAAGCACGTCTCTGAACTTTCTCCCCCTCAAAACTGCAAAAATGGTATGATGTCCCAACCTCGTGGGAGCCAGCAAAAGTGGTGTACTGGCTTCAAGGGAGCTCAATTACTTGAGCATAACTAGTTCAAATCTTTAAAGCTGCTGGAGCGATAAGTCCATTCTGCTTCAAAGCCTGTATCTAATGGGATCAGAGCTCCCATCGCGGAGGGTAAGTTGAAGCATCCGTGGGCACGGCGAGTGCGGGGTGGTGTCGGCCACGCTCTGCAGGCGGCCCTGCTCTCGGGCCCGGGCTCGGCGCGCTGGCCCCTGCGTCTCTGCAGCGCACTTGATTGCGGTGTTTGACAGATGCTGTTAGATCATCTCCACACTCCGCTTCCCTGAAATTGTTCTCTTGGTGCTATCGTTGTGGCAAAGGGTCCTGTTGTGCATCCCTGTACTCACGTGGGCACCTGCTTGAGGGCTGAGCTCATCTCGGAATATTTGAAACTTGTGTTTCTTTCTTCTCTCGACGGGCAGGAGGGGAACTTGGGGGAGGGCCACCTCCCTGTCCTGTACCCCTCCAGCCGGTCCTTCATCCCCGTCACCCCCATGCTCAGTTGGGAATTACGGTGCTTAAGTTTCTAGTTTGACCATTTCATTTCTGCTAGAATGCTGCTTTTTTAACTCAAGAATGTACAGGAAAATCTCAAAAGGTTTAGCTACTATAAGACTACCAGGCTGGGAAGTGATGGGGGGACATTTATATGTCATAGGTTCAATTCAACACACTGTCACAAGCACAACTGTTCTGTTCTTCTGGAATTTTTTAAAAGGGACATTTTAAAAGATTTAAAAAAAAAAAAAGGCATTGTGCTCAGTAGTCTCTTTTTCTTAGGTGAGAGGTAAAATGGTTTTCTAAATAATTTATTCATCTCTGACAAGCATGACATTATGCCACATCTATATGTGGCTTACAAACAAGTTACAGTCTTGCCGTTGTAATTCTGTAATTTAGAATTTGTTGCTCCATACGGCTAAATGGGGAGCAATGGGCCCCTCCGGAGCTTTCACACTCCACTGTGAGCTAAGCAAGATTTTTATCACAATTAAACTTAGCTTAGCTATTACTTATTGCAACAGTCAGTGAGGTTAAAAGTGCTTCTGGGCAGAACCAACAATTTCTGTGTGTGTGTGTGTGTGTGTGTGTAGGTATGTATGTGTATGTGTACTTTTTTTTTCTTTTTTTTCTCTCTAGTCTTGCAAAACTGCCCTGGCAGTTTACCAGCCTTGGAGACTGGCCTCTATTTCTTATGTTAGCGGGAGATCCGTGCTGCACCCAGCCTTTCATAAACTTATGATTCATTTACTGTTGTCCTTCCTAATACTTACGCTGTCCGTGACTGCTCCCCAAAAATCAGCTAGTGTCCATGAAGTGCTCCATAAAAGCACCGTGTTGTCTTGGGCACAGATGAACAGAAGACCGGGCTGTGAGGCGCTTTTTTTGCTTCAACTGAAGGAGCAGCCAGGTGTCTTTGAGCATAGGTCCCACCCTGGTAAGGCACAAAGAATGGGACCAAATGCTTAGGAGTAGTGTCTTTGACATGAGCAATTTTCCACAGTGTGTGTTTATGGTTCAGCATCCTWGACAGTAATTTTCAGCAACAGCAGCAGACAGAGGAGCTGGTGTCATCTGCAGGACTAGCCAAGGGACTTGCCATCTTCTCAGTCGATGAACAGAGCTAGACTGCTCTGATGCCCGGAGCGGGGGTCATCTTTAAAGTCTTCTTTTAAAAAAGAAAAAAAAAAATMTTTGGTATTAATGGGAATTGGAAAGGATTGATCTGGTTCACTTGTTGACTTCTTAATAAGGGAAAAGTCAGCTGAAGTATTCTAGTTGCATAACTTGCTGTGTACACCCATAAATTAAGAAACACCAAGCACTTACAAAAGCCAGCTTGCAAAACAAGTGTCCCTTTATGATGCCAAATTTAGTAGGCCAAAAAAATATGTTTTCCTCTTTCTAGACTACAGGGCATGGGCTAATGCCTTTGTGTGTGTGAAAAACAACCTCCTCTCTGACTTGAATGTATCTTAGCCTATTAGGGTAGGAAGCAATAGCAAAACTTTCATAAAGTCTGGAACATAAAATACAAATCAGAAAATACGAAGTAGATGCTAAAAAACAATCTTTCTTCTTGGTATAAAATCAGTATCTGTACTAATATCATGGTTTATATTTGAAGATTCTTACAGCATCTACCTTAATTGCTGAGCATTTTCCTGGTAAGTTCCCTCTGCAATTAAAGGCAATGTGAATTGCATCAGTTTTGAAGAGCGGCAATAAGGTATTGGTTACTATTATAACAATATTTCATTAAATGTTCTTTGAGGTCCTTTCCAGCTGCCCTTGGGTGTTAGTGTGTGTGGACTTAGGCAGTGTATGCAGATAACACGACTTTCTTGAGTGTCTGTTCTTCTTTCTGAGGTTCTTTGGCAGGTTTTTACTTTGATGATTCTCATTTCTTTCTATTGACTATTTTTTCCCCAAAATTTCCCTAAATCAGGTTTGAAAACTAATTACTTCCACCATAGGTGTTTTATATCCCACCAGAGAGCGCAGAATTTGAACATATCAAATAACCTGTTGTTATTCAAAACAACCACTAATACAGAAAGGAATTCGAGGAATTTCCATGAGGAAAATAGGCCAGGTCACAAATGAAAAGAAACCAATCAACTTAAAAGGAAGAAAACCATGGAAATTAGATGCTATGGCAGAGGCCCTAACATATGAAATTTGAATGTACAGGCAGATATTTGTGTACATGCGGAATCCCAACAGCATCATAAAATTGCAGATAAATAAAATAGCTTTTTTATTTATAGTTTAAGTAAGGTTAAATTATTAAGCCTTACTTAAGAACTCTTTGCAGATGTATCCCCTTCTTTGGGCGAAGTCCAGGTTTTATACCAACCTCGTAAAATCCTCCCTCCCTCAAAGAACGACCACACCATAAGGGGTTTAAGTGGCCTAATGCCAGTGTCCATCTGTGTAGCAACCGCTTTGGAAGGGATCCGCTCYGTTTCCCAGAATGGTTAAGGTTGGAAGCGATCTCTAGAGAGCATGTAGTCCCGCTTGCCTTGTTTAGMTCTCACTGCTGCACGTTGTGGTAAGAAGTAAACCTTGGGGTTTGAGAAAAGAGGGTCAGTGAAGAACTGACCACCGAGAAGGATGGGGACTTTTGGAATGAGAAAGGTCTGTATGTGTAATGAAAGAAGCACCCAGCATGAAACAACGTAGATCTGGGTTGTGGTTGAGCCTTCTCAGTCACAACACTGTGCAAATAAAGCCTAAAAACATTTTCTGTAGTCTGACTTTCTTCCGTGGGAGAACTACTTCATAGAGAATCTCCCTTCTTCAAGGATTTGTATCAGACACATAAAACTTCTTTTCCCATGGATAAATTTTATTGTTAGGTACGCATCTGGTGCCTTGTTTTAAGTYGGAGACAAGCAAAGTCTGACAAGCTACAGACTGTTTCTGTTGCCAAATTGTCCTTGGTTTGTGGTTATAAGTATCAAATTTTAAAAACCTTTTGGTCCTTTTATGGCATTATTTTTACAATTCTTTTGAAAACAGAGCTAAAACATAGGCTTGTGAATGTTTATGACTCAGCACTGCAAATTAACTCAGTACTGTTTATTTTGCATGCAATACTAATTTTGCTAGCATGCACTGTAATTTTAAATTCAATATCATATTGAGAGTACTCCAATCCGAAGAACATATGCATACCTACTTGTAGGTTTATTTGGTAAACTATCTTGAATATTGTTGCCATTGCACTAAGAAATTAAATTTTGTATTGTTTTTGTTGAAATTAATATATAGTATCTTTTTCTATCAAATTTATAGTGCCGATATATCTGTAGCAGTGCCTATTAATGTAGTTGCTGTGCAGCTAACAGTGTGTTCTAGAATAGCTCTTATTTGTGGTATTTTAATGCTTTATATTTAACAAGAAGTCATCTAAAGAATGTTAATTTAAAGTTATGATTATGCATCAAGCAACCAGAGACACCTTGTCAAGAAATTTGACACAAATCTGTAATTAAACTGTTCTGTACTAACTTCATAAACRTGTTGATAATAATGATGACTGGGGGAGGATTTTTATGCCTTGATGTGTATTTATCCTTACCTGGTGTTTAGCACCTTAGTAATCTCTTTCAGGAGTTTCTTTATGCTACTGGTTGCTTTTAATTTCAGGTCTCCATATTCAGTCTGCATGCTCAAGCTTTGCAGATTTTGTGCATTCACGAGTATTTTCATGTTAATTTGGAACCTTTCTCTTCTTCTTAATTAGTTTTTCCATTCTACTTTTAAAAGTTTAAAACTTTCCTTTCTACTTTTGACATGATTTTTTTTATCAYGCTTGCCCTCTGTACTGTTCATAAGTCTAATAATTTTCTTCATTTTCACCTCTTCCTTTGAATGTGGCAGAGATTTTGCTAGCTTTCTACGATTTACAGCATGGTTCTGTGTGCTCAGAGATAAATAACTTCTTAACCAAAATTGATCTAAGAGTTCACTCCATACGAGTTTGCACTCTTGCASTAATGTGGGGTCCATGGTAACTTTGATTTAATAATCAAGTTATGTATGAAGTAGAGCTGCAGATGGAAATTTTGCTGAGATGGTTTATTTAATGGTTATTAAATGGTTTATTTA